ACAGGTCTTTGCCAGCCGTTGTCACATATGTGCTCACATCATTTTAATGCTGATACATCTAGATCTTCTGGAAGAATTGAATGCCAATCCATTTTGATTGATGCATCTACTTGGCTTGGCCTGGTCCTTGTAATGTGTCCTTACCTTTGCTTTTTCCAACAGTGTAGCAACACAAATACTTGGCAGCGAAATGAGAGAGATGTACTTTTAAAAGTTTTTTGTGCTCGTGTTTGTTGTATCTCAGTCCACATTGACATTCTGTTCTTATCAAAGCATCCAGTGTGTCCATCAGCCTTGAAATTTATAGGATTTTAACTGCCTTTTCATTCTTTCCTCGGTACATCTTTAGTGGCCAGGTTCAATCAGTGCACGGAGATTGTTGTTCTACTGTTTTCATTGAGGCTAAAGGATTACATTATGGACTGAAGGCGAATGCACAGCTTGTACATTCAGTAAATGCCAAACTGGATTTGAATGAAAATGCCCCTTTCTTTTCCATTGCGACCAAAAGTGCAGGCTTTTTTGTCTCCAAGGGCATAGCATTCTTGGACACTGGGTACTAGCCGTGAGTTTTGTGAGCATGAAATATCTTCTTTTGTCTGTCATTTTTTTCATTATGTTCCCCCTGCCTCTCTTTTTCTCTCCTCTCCTTTAGTGATTTTTCTTGATAGTCTTGTCTGGCCCTTGTTGCTCTCTTTGTGTGAACATAGCTGTGTATGTGTGTCTGGATTTTTAATAGATTACTTTTTCTAATTCAATTTAGTAATTTTTAAAAATTTGTATTTCCATTTACGTAAAAAAAATAAAAAGGAACATGATAATGTAATCTTTTTTTTAGCTGAGTCAGTCTGTTTAAAACCTTATATTTTACCTTTTAACGCAAGATTTTATAGAGAAAACTTGGCCTCACCTATATCATTGAGTTTACAGAAGTTCTTAGTCATCTCTCATTGTATTGTGCATTACCTGTACTCATCAATTAATTCGTTATTATTACTTTTACATTTATGTAACAAAAGAGGATAACAGAGAAAACAACAGTTACAACTTTGTCCTCCTTTTTCTCCCCTCTTTCTTTGTCTATGCTTGCAGGGCCTGTTCATCTTTCTGATCTATGGGGTGTACAACACAGAGGTAAGTCTGCATTGTGTCTCAAGGCTGTCGTAGTGAATGAGAGAAATGACAAGTTTCTGATGGGCTTCTTGCTTAAAAGCTGTGTGACGGGGTGTCTGTGTGCGTGTGTGTGTGTGGGGTGGTTGGGGGGCTCTGGGTTGTGTGTGCTTGAACGTGTTTTGTGTGGGTGAGTGGAGTGAGGGGATGGGACATCGCTTCCACGCGAGCGTCCCACTGCCCTTCATGCTTGGACTAACTTATATGCATCCGAGTCCGACCATTTAACACTGACACGCTGCGCTTCTCAGCCACTCATTCCTCACCCACATTGGCTAATATTTCACTGCCTCTTTAAGTTTTTAAACTCACGGCCCTCCATTTAGCATCCTGACAAAGCTCCTGGCCAGGGCTTTGTATGGCCCAGTGCAGCAACCATAGCAGGATGAAAGAAAAAAGAAAAGTAAAAATGTGTGCAATAAATGCAGTTTACAATGTACAATTTATAAAACATATAAAAAAAGAACAGTTGGATGTGGTTATTTGAATGGGTTCTTACAGTAGTTCTGAGACTTTTTATTGTATAGACCGCTTGTGTAAAAACTAAAAAATAGTGCCACCATGCTGTAAATTGTTAAAAAGGAAGAAAACAGGACTTGGGGATTTTCAATTTTGTTTTTAAAAGTGGAAAAAAATGATTAAAATAAAGTTTTCAAACCTACTATTGAAATGGTTTTCCCTGTGTTCCCTGATCTTTTTAGTCTGAAATAAAACATTATCAATTCAGTTTTAAACAATAAATACTTTAAGGTAGGAGGGGTACATTTTATTTGACCATGTTGAATCAGTCCCTAAGAGGGACTGCAATGACAACTTGGGTGATGTTTTTACCAGTTTCATGTACTAGCATTAAAAGCATATAGGCAGCCAACAGCACTTGTTTATCATTCATTGTATTCCTCACCAGTTCATATTTCTCCTCTTGTGCTGCCCTCAGACAGGGTAATGTGATCCCTCCAGTCACAATTAAATAATTTTATATTTGTTCTATCAGTAAAAGAGATGCATGCAGATTTTGTTACACATGAAAATATTTCCTAAAACTTAAAACATTTGCTCCAAAATGGACATGTATGTAGAGAATCTTATTTTAAGTGGTTTACTTCCTCATTGATCCCTTTTTTTTAATCTTATTTATTTATTACTGCATTCAATTATTCTGCTCAGCAGTAAAAAAAAAAAAAAAAAAAGTTAGCAAAATCTTTGGACACTGTTGGCAATTGTAATGAGCCACAAGAAAAATAGCACAAATCTCAGCATAGTGAGGAGAGCAAACCAAAAGCTGATTTTTGTGCCATCTTTGTTTGGCTCAGCACATGTTTTTCTTATGCATGTCTGCCAGTAAGGTGCATGCTAGAAGTAAGCACATTGATATTTTTGCAGATACTTACCATTTCTAATTTAGGGAGTATGAAAACTTAAAAATAAAACTATTATATTGAATTCTGCATCAGCTCCAGTTAAGAGGTCTGAGCTGAGATTGGGTGAACACGGAATACATGTAATAAGAAAAAGAAAGGACTCTGTCCTCTTTGAATGCAAGGACATTTTTAAAAAGTCTCTGCTACTCTGAAAGTTTGCCAATGTGGTAAATAAGCACTGTTTGTTGATGACGGACAAAAAGTGCCATGCAGAACGTTTGCACTCATATTGTGCACCATGGGGAAAAAAGGCAAAAAAATCAAGTAAAGACAGTCGGCCGTAGCTATGAAGGAGATGTCAACCCCGCTCTAATAAACCCCAATGTATAGTGTGCACAGACTACAAGATATTCAATGATATTTTTTTTTAAATGGCTCCACCGTTGGGTGTCATTCCCCCTCTTTAATATGAAGTCTAGTCGGAAGTTTAACTGAAGAAACTAAATTACTTGCTTCCTCATCAGATGCTTATCTGCCTCTGATGGAAAACAATCAGCTTTTAACCGCACCTCCACCAAGCTCAGTCAGCATCCAGAGTTCATCTTAAAATGTCTCCAAATCCACGACTCTGCCTGTTACCCAGCCAAGTCCAAGCAGTAATTACATGAGTCATCTCATTTGACTCGGATGACCCAGATTCAACCCACCTCCATCCCCTTCTCCACTATCGTAGCTAAGCTCCTTCTGGCTTTTCCATGATGCTTCCTATCGGAGTGTAATTCCTCTCTGACTCTTACTGCATTCCCCACCACATCTCAACTGGTCCGGCAGAAGACCGCCATGTTGAGCCTGGTTCTGCCAGAGGTTTCTTCCCAAAGGGGAGTTTTTCCTCTCCATTGTTGCTTCATTCTTGCTCATCATGGACAGGTTCATACAACCTGTTTTTATCCAAGGTGGACATCTATCCTCTGGGTCTCAATTGAAGCACTAGTATCAGCTCACGCAGTCTACTGAATCTCACCGATTCAGATAAAGCAGATTGTCTCGCCAACCAGCAGTCTATGGACTGACCAACTTCATCTGTCTCCTCTTCATCACCAGTTTGAAGGCGGGGGGTGTTCTCATACACCTGCTTAAGCATATTAAAGTAGAATTCAGTGCTAATGTTTCCTGCCAAGGTCTGAGCGGCAACGTCTTAAAATAATTGTATCAATAAAATTCTTCTAATTGTCCTTTTCTGTCCATGTGAGTTTGTCAGATTGAAATATGCAGTGCTCTAAATGATCTTTGCATTGAGAAACATTGCAGTTGGTTCACAGGGAGCCTCTTTTTAAGATAGAACACATTTTCAAGGTTGGAGTCTATTTTGAATTAATAAATGCATTGATTTAAGACTTCAAACTTTAAGAATAGCTTTTCCAACTTCCTACAACATTTAAATGCAGGAATGCCAATTTTCATATGATGTGTATGATCAAAAATGTAATTTAATCACTCAAAGGTACCAACATATCATGCAAAGAAGCAAAAGCAAGTTGAAATCCTTGCAATACAATAAAAATAAATCTAACAAGCAATCATCTCATCTGTGGCCTGAATAAAACTCAGTTGATGAGCCTTCAGTTCTGATGTATTCAAAGGTCATTTGTCTTTTGTTGTTTCAGATGCAACATTTACAAGGTAAATAGGCAACATTACGTGACCTCACACTTTTCAATCTTTTATGGAACTCAATCAGTGCCTCCGTCCATCTGAACATCCAAGATGCTATTTCTCTCACACAACATTTCAATTTCCTGCCTTTTTTGTATTTTCTCTGTCTTGTCTCTATTCATGTCTTCTTCAAAGCATGAAAAGCTGTCCCTGAGTCATAGGCAATGCATTGACAATACAAATGCTGGAAAGGTTGACCCCTTACATTGTCAAATAAATTAACACACATTCTTGCTTAAGTTGCCCTTTTAATGTGCCGAAATAAGTTTTTCTATTTCTTAAGTTTTCTTTAATGTTGAGGTATTTAAATAACTTATGTTCTTTCATGAGAAACCTCTTTTGTATAATCATATTTAGCCTTTTCTGAACCATAATTATTTAAAAGCGGCCCATTTATGTTGACTTAATCTGCCCACCTTCTGTTTTGGATGTCTTACTAAACCTTGGAATCTATAAATTTCCTATGTGCAAAATATAAATGCGTATACAAAATTCTATAGAATAAACCCAGGACTGATTATCATTACCTTTAATTAGTTTCAGTCAGACAATTAAACAAGCAGAGAATGTTTATTTTTTTATTTAAACTTTCTCAAGCTGCAGGAATTAAAGACCTTGGATTTGTTTTATCTGCTCATAAGGAATTCCAAGGAATTTGTATGACTACCTTTCCCATTGCTCTGAAAGGCACAGATAATTTATTTATGGTATATGATAAGGTTATGAAGATAAGTGCTGTACACCGTCCGTACAGCGAGTGGTGGGATAAGAAACTAAAGAGAATATAAAAGAAAAACCTGAGCGATCTTTTTTTAAACCCTATCAAGAGATAAAACCCTTCTTCTGTTCAAGGCAGTGAAGAAATCTAAACAGACATTACACAGCAACATGTGTTATTCTTGTTAACATGCATTTGGCTTGCTGTTGCTGTAAAACTTTGCAATTAATTTAAAAGCAGTCACAAAACATTCATAAGCAAACTTTTTCCTTAAATTCCTAGCATCAGGTAAAATACTTTGTCAAGTACAGTGAATTGTTTATCATCATTTTCTCCTACTGAAGATTTATCTGCTTTAACCATTAAAAACAAGAATGATAAAGAGTTTACACTCCATCAAATTAGGTTTCATTAAAAAAATAGTTTTCGAGATATCAATGTTTTTGATGTACAGGGAGAAGTGTTCTGTTTGAGCATCAGAGGTAGTTAATTGAAATATTTTCTTATTTCTATAAAGATTTTGCCGTCTGAAAAGCTTGCTGAGATATAAAAATATTTGTAATGTAAAGGAAAATTGCTGCAACACAATGTGGGATTCCTGCATTAAAATATCAACTGTTTACAGAAAGAATTACATTTTATTTTGGTTAGTGCAGTTATCGAACAACTTTATAAAGACTTTATATCTAATTTTTAGCAGCTACAAACAGATAATACGTAGAGAGGAAAAGAGTAAAGGGCTGACAACATGTCAGTAATTAGAAGGTAAATCGCAGTCCAACTTATTATTCAAATCTTTTTTTTGTTTTAAACATATAAGAACAACAATTAAACAAAATAAAAATGATAAAAGGCGCTAACAACACATCTTTTGTAAGAGGGGGGCTATATACTCAGGAGAAATCTGTCTCAAAGTACAAAAGAAATGGCTGCCAGGTGGTATTGTATTGTTGAATCCCAGTCCAACTTAAGGTCCATCAGCACAGAGCTTAGCAGCTCCAAAACATCTAAAAAAACCCCACACATTTTCAAAGTAGGCTAAATTAAAAAAAAAAACCTACTGCATAGAGAAGGTTTTGAGCATTGCTTAAATCATTGCTTATAACATCTTTGATCTACTTTTTGTGTTACATTAATTTCATAAACGAATAAAGTTTTACATTCAGCTTTAG